ATATGGTAAATGACTCAAGCAAACATGACTTTCTAATACTGTAACATTATCTGTTCTTTTAAGTTGAAACACATTGATTTTAATGGGAGTTTAGTGTGTATCCTAAGTAAAGATGTCTATTTATCCAAACTTGTGCTCAGTAACAGTAACCAGAAAATGCATTAAATAAAACCATGTTGATTCATACTCCGATTCAAACTTTTAAACTCAGTATACTTCTCTCATAATTTGCCAAATAAACCTTTACTTCATAGAAATGTTAAATTTTACAGAAGTAAAGTTTACTTGGCAAATTATAAAAATGTTCATCAGTAACTGTCAGAGAAATGCAAACAAAACCTCAAAGAGATCACTGCATTCAGTAAGAATGGCTAGTATCAAGAAGACCAAAGAGAACAACTGCCGGCCAGGATGTGGAGAAAAGTGAACACTTATACACTGTTGGTGGGAATGTAAATTAGCATAGGCATTATGGCAAACAGTGTGCAGTTTCTTCAATAAATTAAAAACAGAACTGCCACATGACCCAACAAATCCATTTAAAAGGAAATGAAATCAGTATGTCTAAGAGACATCTGCATTCCCATCTTTATTGCAGCAGTATTCACAATAGCTATGAGATGGAAACAACATAAGTGTCCACCAAATAATAAATGAGTAAAGCAAAGGTGGCACAAACAGTGTATACAATTAAATGCTACTCACCCATAAAAAGAAGGAAATTCTGTCATTTGCAACAACATGGATGGACCTGGAGGTCATTATATTAAGTGGAATAAGTTAGCTACAAAAACACAAGTACTGCATGATCTCACTTGTGTGGAATCTAAAGAGTTGATCCCATAGAAGTTGAGAGTAGGATGATATGTACCAGAGGCTAGGGAGTACAGGGAGGGAGGAGGGATGAGGAGAGGTTGATCAGTGGGTACTAAATTACAATTAGATAGGAGCAAGAAGTTCTGATGTGCTATTGTATGTGAGGATGACTATAAATACTATTTAAAAAGTCTATAAGAAAGGACTTTGAAGTTTTTTATGATAAAAAATGATAGTGTTTGAGTACATAGGTATGTTTAACTTGATATAAGATTACACAATTTATACATGTATCAAAACATGTGTCACAAGATACTGAATTAATATGTAGTTTTATGTTTTTGTGTACCCATTAAAGTAAATTTAATTGATAAAAAGTTTTAAAAAAGTTAATAAGGCAAATTAAGTAGCACTGGCATATTTACTAAATATCTGTGTATCCATTACAGTGTGAAGGTCAAGCGCTGAAGCTCTAGAGTCAAATGGGCCTGATCCAGATCTCATCTTTGCTGCTTGATCTCTACTCTGGCTTTGCTTATTTAACTTCTCAGTCTCCTCACCTATAAAATGAATTTCATAATATAAAGGTGATACGATTTTTTGTGGGGCCCAAAGGAGATAATTCATATGCTATGAGCTAAATTATGTTCCTTAATAATTTATGTGTGTCTGTATTTCTAGATAGGACCTCTAGGAAGAAATCCAGGTTAAATGAATTAATAACAATTGGGTCCTAATCTGATAGGATTGGTGATATTATAAAAGAGGAAGAACAGTTATGCAAAGGAGAGGTCAAATGAGCCTACCTTAAGAATATAGCTGCCTACAAACCAAGAACAGGCAGTAGAATGAAATATACCTTGCTGACACATTTATCTTGAACTTTTCAGACTCCAGAGCGGTGAGAAACAAATTTATATTGTTTAAGTCTACGGTATTTTGCTATGGCAGCCTAAGCTGAGTAATATGGATTTTGGTGCTGAGAAGTGGGGTAGGCTGTAACAAATACCTAAAAATGTAGAAGTGGCTTTGGAACTAGGAAATTGGTAGAGGCTGGAGGAATTTTGAGATGCACACTAGATAAAAGCCTATATTGCCATGACCAGAATGCTGGTAGAACTATGGACATTAAAGATTATTCTGGTGAGATCTCAAATGGAAATGAGGAACATGTTTTTGGAACCTGGAAGAAAGACAATCTTTGTTATAAAGTGGCAAAGAATTTGGCTAAAATGTGTTCTAGTATTTTGTGGAAGATATTTTTTGAGCAATGAAATTGGACATTTAGCTGAAGAGATTTGTTCCTTTCCTTCCTTCCTTTCCTACTTTCTTCCTTCCCTCCTTCCCTCCCTCCTTCCTTCCTTCCTTCCTTCCTTCCTTCATTCCTTCCTTTCTTCCTTCCTTCCTCTCTCTCTCTTTTTTCTTTTCTTTCTTCTACTAAATAATATCCCCAGTGCCCCCCAGCTGAGGATATTTCTAAAGAAAATTTTGAAAGAGTGGCTTGGCTTGGTTCTTATAGATTGCTTATAGCAAAATGCAAAAAACAAAGAGATGAAGAAGAAATCATTAAGTAAAAAGGAATAAGATTTTGAAGATTTTCAAAGTTCTCATCCTATTGCAAATTGTGGAGAAAATATGAAGGATATGACTGGAATATCAGTCCTTAAGGAGATTACCCATGATGTTAACCAGCCATCTCAGCAGAAGCCAGGAGTTTGGACCAAGGCAACAGAGGCACTGGCAGTTTGTACCAAAGAGAACAGGGCAGTATGATATGGGCAGTATGGTAGAGCATTTCACTGAAAACATGCTTTATCTTTCAAGAAAAGGGGACAATGACCCCAAAGGCAGTTCAGAGATCATCAAGCTGCTGCTCCCACCATAGGCCCAGAGTGCATATGTCTGGGAGATAAGGCTACTACTCTACCTCGGTTTCACAGCATAGTACTGAGGCTCAACTGCGCTGCTTGGGTGAGGCTGTCCTTCCAACAAAAGAAAAGGAGCCACCTCACAGAGCTGTGAGGCTAACACTGCTGTCTGAGTGGGCCTGAAGGGCAGAGTATTGAATAAATGGAGATTACTCTGGAACCTCAAGATCTAATAAAATTTGCTTTGCCAGGTTTTGGAGTTGCTTGGAACCTGTCACACTGTTATCCTTTTGATCTATCCCTGTTGGAATAGGGATACAAAATCCTATTGGATCCTGTTGGAAAATCTATCTTATGTCCATCCTACCATTATCTTTTGAAAGTACATAAATTATCTGGTCTCATAAGTTCACAGTTGGAGAGGAATTATGCCTTAATGTGAATGGTACCTTGAATATCACCCATATCTGATTAGATGATAATTAGATTAAGCTTTGGACTTAAAACTTTAGAGTTGATGTTGGAATAAGTGAAGACTTTAGGGGCCATTGGGATGGAATGAATGCATTTTGGATGGGAGAAGGACATAAATTTTGTAGGGCTATGGATGGTATGCCAAGGACTGAAATGTGTACTCAAATATCTTTAAAGCATTTACTCCAATGTGACTGTATTTGGAGATAGTATCTCTAGAAAGTAATTAAGCTTAAATGAGGTCATAAGAGTGGAGCCTTAATCTAATAGGGTTGGTGACATTATGAGAACAGAAAGAGAAAGGTCTTTGTCTCTGTCCCTGTGCTTGAATACTGAGGAAAGGTGCAGTGAGAAGTCAACTACTCACAAGTCAAAAGAAGAGACCTCTGAAGAAAATCTCCTTTGCTGGCATCTTGATTTGGGACTTCTGTCCTCTAGAACTGTGAGAAATAAATTTCTTTTGTTTATGCCATCCAGTATATGATAGTCTTTTATGGCAGCGGAGCAAACTAATACAACATGTAAAATGTTTGGCATATAGTAGAAATCAATTATTATACAGGCATGCAATGTGCATATAAACTGAATAATAGGAGAAAATGTTCACCACATGTAAAAGGATAAGCTCAAGTACATTAGCAGCACTCCCTTTTTCTCCTTAAAAGTTTTTTATTCTGATTAACACATAATGTCCTTATTTATGGAGCACTGTGTGATATTTCAGTACATGTATACAATACATAATGATCCGGGTAATTGGTATACCTATATCCAGTGTAATTGCACATTTTAGTACGTGTATACAATATGTAATGATCAGATCAGGGTAATTGATATATCCATAACCTCAGACATTTATCATTTCTTTGTGTTGAGAACATTTAAGATTCTCTCTACTAGCTATTTTGAAATATACAATTATAGTTGTTGTCAGCCATAGTTATCCTCCTATGCTATATGTACTATTTGAATTTATTCTTCCTATTGAAAGGCACTGCTGTAGCAATTAACTATCCTCTCCTCCTTCCTCTTCTCCTACACCCTTCCCAGCACTGGTAACCACTATTATATTCTGTACTTCTTCAACTTTTTACCTTCCACAAATAAATGAGAACATATAGTATTTTTTGTGCCTTATTTCACTTAATATATTTGTAGTGTCCTACAGTTCCATCTGTGTTGCTGAAATGACAGAATTTAATTCTTTTTTAAGGCTGAATAATATTCTATGATATAATACTCCTTCTAAATTCAAATTACTATTACTATTATATTAGTCTAATCTGTTATCGAATAGTACAGTAATATTGTATTACTATATATTATAATAACAATATTATAAAAGTGGAGTTATATACTTACAATATTATAAGCTTATAATATTACAACTACATTATTTTTCTAATTAGTATTATCAATGTTAATATTATTTTAAGTGGATATGGTAGTATCTTATTCCAGTGAAATGTTTTTACCTTCAGACACGATGTGTGCTTAAAAATAATAACCCTGTGATTTGTTAAAACTATCTAATAATTCATGATTTTGATCAGTTACAACATTTCTCTAGTTTCAGTCTGTATAGTGTCTCAACTAATATCCTTAGGAGTGTGAGCATCCACAATGAAAAAAAAAAAAGATAAAGAATCCTCACTGGGACCTGTAATTAGGTACACATAGTATCCGAGCAAGTTAGAGTAACTTGTTCTTGCTTCCTGTGGATGCAGTGGTGCCAGACATGTGTATCATAGTATACAACATTTAAATGTAACAGTAAGTTCAAATTTAGAGCATTCCTTGTTCTTTTGGAATTTTCAGTAATGGAAATTTATTCTTTCACAGGTATCAAGGTTACATTTATACATACCGGGTGTCCCAGACAGAAATGGGCTCTTGGAGTGCAGAGGTACAGTTCTTTTTTATTTATTTTTCTTTCAGTGAGTATGGAGGAGATGTGTTTGAAATTTACGTTGGTTTTATAAAGGAGAATTCATATCATATACTACCAAAATATTCATCAGACTTAAATCACTAAAATGCCTACCCAAAATTGCTCATAGATCTATCGTATTTAAGGCATTTGCAGGTGAATGGATGCACTTCAAGACTATAATGTTAAGAGAAATAAATCAGACACACAAGTTTAAATATTTCATGGTTTCTCTTATGTGAGAATCCCCAAATAGAAATAAAGAGCAAAATAAAGGATAGATAATGGGAAGTAGAGAAATCATTTTCAAATGGGAAGGGGAATAAGAGAGGGGGGGAACAAATTCAAAGACCCAATTCAAAAATGGGCATCTGAAATGAACAGACATTTCTCAGACAAAGGAGTAAAAGCAGCAAATAAACATATGAAAAAATATTCAACGTCACTGGTCATTGGAGAGATGCAGATGAAAACAACACTGAGATTCCACCTCACCCCAGAAAGAATGGCTGCTATCAAGAAATCATCCAATAACAAATGCTGGTGGGGTGTGGGGAGAAAAGAACCCTTCTCCATTGTTGGTGGGAGTGCAGACTGGTGCAACCACTGTGGAAATCAGTATGGAGATACCTCGAAGAACTAGGGCTAGAGGTCCTATTTGACCCAGCTATTCCCCTGCTGGATATTTTCCCAAAAGAATTAGAAGAATCATACCACAGCAATATATGTGCACCCATGCTTATAGCAGCACAGTTTGTAACAGCTAAAGCTTGGAAACAGCCCAAATGCCCATCAACTGGAGACTGGATCAAGAAAATATGGTTTTCTTATAAAATGGAATACTACTCAGCCATAAAAAATGAGAAATTAGAGACATTTATTGCTAAATGGATGCATATTGAGGCAAAACTCTTAAGTGAAATAAACAGGACACACATGTGTAAATACCAAATAGTTTCCCTAGTGTGAGAAACTGAAAGTGTAAATAAGGATTAAAAAGATTAATAACTGACAATTGATACTTTGAAATAGGAAAAGGTCCAAAGGGGTAGGGGTGGTGGGAGGAGATGGGGAAAGGAAAGAAGGGAAAGGAAAAATAATGAAAAAAGAAAAAAAATGGAAATGAAGTCTGTGTAAATAGGGAAGGGTGGAAGGGTGAAAGGCGCACAGGTAATGGGGAAAAAATAAGAACCAAGAGACATCATGTACAGGTACAAGCACCCAATGATAAATGTAAATGTATTGTATACTTAAAATGTACCAATAAAAGAATTTAAGCAAAAAGAAAAAAAAGGAGATGGGGGGAAGGAAGAAGAGAAAAAAAGATTTAAAAATGAGAAAAAGAAGCCTTTAGAGAATTTTGGTCCCAAAGCCATTCCGCCAACTTTGTGTGAAGTGCTATGAGTTGGGAAAGATAAAGTTGAAAGCGGATGTCAAACTTTTAGTACCCATGTGAAATTTTAGAAAGCATATAAAAGTCAATAAAATTTTATTCTTGTTTCTAAGAGTCCATAATATTCTGGGGGAGATATAAAATGGAAGTAGATAGCAGTGTAAGATCCGGGGCTTTGTTGTCAAGTGCATCCATGTTCCAGGTCTGTTTCCCCACTCCCTTTTCCCAGTAGGTCTAATGACTTTGAACAGGTTACTATACTTAAATTTCTGTGAATCAGTTTCTTCATCTGTAAAATGAGCCTAATAATAGTTCTTTACTCACAGGGCTCATTTGGTGGAATAAATGAGACAATGCAGGTAATGACACTTTTAGTTACAGGTCCTATCACATAGTGAGCCCACAAAAATGTGAAATTTTGAAAATTTCCAAATAATATGATTACATATAGTTCAGTGCAAAGTTCAGAACAATAGTTCAGAAGAGGGAAGATTTTCAAAGTGTTTATGGTAATGGATGCTGCTTTATGTGTGTGTGGGGGGAGGGGAAGACTCCTGTCTGAGCCATGTTGTAAGGCTATCAATAGTTGGAACAGGGAAGAGGAAATTTTGCAGTGTTTTAAAGCTATACTCTCCAGAACCATAGTACTCTTCTATGTGGGTCCATGGGCTTCCTAGGTGGTTGCAGAAGGCGAGGAGGAGATAAGTGGATATATTTCTGGATACCTACTTTTGCATCAATCTGAGAAGTTCTCTTTTATTTTGCTTATAAAGTAGGGCTCTGAGTAAGATTTCTTTAGAACAAAGAATTCTTGTTGCTTTGAAAATGTCTGAAAGCCCCTGTGGCATTCCAAGAAATGCCTGTAGAGTGAAATCTATTTCCATGGACCAGAGTATTTTATGGGATATCACATTTTACCAGTCCTCGAGGTCTCTACAACTGAAACTTTGTAACTTAAATGATTTTTTTTTTGTTTTCTGACTCTTTAAAATAGTCCATATTTATAATGAAATTACTTCATTATGAGCTTTTGGGAACATAAATACTAATATTAACTCTATTAATAACATCCATGAATTTAAGAAACTCTAAAATCTAGACTTAAAAAACTGAAAGAGCTCTAGTCTTACAAATTCATCAGTAAACTGTAAAGTACAAATTATAGACTACAAATCTTTTGAACTTCTGAGGTGAATTAGGGCAAATTTTCAAATACATTGTTAACTTATATCAGGATAATTAATACTGTAATACTAACTGAAGGAAAAGCAATACTATTTCTAATTAAAATTATGTATGCCTATTTACTTTGAAAAATTCCTGTATCACTGCAGATAATTAAATAAGAAGTTAAACTTAATTTATCATAATTGCTATGTATAATGTATTATATACATATACAAGTATTTGTATTTGATTTGACAGAAATAGCCCTTCTCCCTAGAAAAGCACCCTTCAGCTGCTGAAGAATATTCTCCACGGAAAGGATCTTAGATTTTTTTAGGTTTTAACAGCCTTGTTTTTAAATTTGCTTTACTCCATTTTGAGCATAGCATCTTTGCAGATTGCTGCATGCTTGAGACCATGTTAAGGAGGAGAGGGCTTATTGAACATAAATGCCCCCTCATCTCATTGTCTGGATTAACCCTGTTTATTTAATAATATTGTCATTATCTGCACCAAGATAGTAGAAGACTGGCATGGATTATTCCCAAATAGAAAACATCTCAACAATTCTATATTTTCTAAGTTATGCTTTGCTAAGGCAAATATTAAACTAGTGTGCATTCTCAGACCACATACCACCTGACTGGAAAAAATTTCCCTAGAGGATATTGAAGACCAGTGGTGATCCAAAACATGTTTCCATGGATAACTAAGAGATGACAGCATTAGAAATGTACAACTTTGAACAATAGCTGAGTTAAGTGACAGGATGGGAGTTGTCAGGGGTACGATTCTTGTAGTAAATGTATTTTCAAACTTGGGTAAATGATAGATATTTGTACTCCTCTTGGGAACAACATTTCAGTTTGACATGCAGGAAAAATCATGGCAGTAACATTCCATTCTCTGCACTAGAAATCTAGGTAAGTCTGAGATTTCTTTAGGATGAAATTGAACGTTGGATCCCATGAATTAAGAAAGACAAATATTATGTCTATATTTTAGACCATTGCCTAATTATTAACTTAGTTCATGTGAATTGGGCTAATATTTTTCTTGTTTACAGAATTTTTTTACAGAATTCTACATAGAGTCAACTATCATTTATTAATATGTGAATTGTCAGTGGTATGTTTTAACGAATTTAGAGACCTCTCTGTCAACTTTAATGCCTTTGGGCTTTTCTGTGTATTTGAGCATCAGGATAGCAGTTGATACTCAATATTTTTACTTGTTAGCCTAAGAAAATCACTATAAATTAGATCAGTAATTTGCTAAGGGAACACTGCATCCCAAATTCAAATTGCTTCTATGTATCCAATGCTATCATTCCTCTGTTAGCATGGATAGTCAAGTGTCAACTGCATATCAGTCCCCATAAACACGTATCAGTCTGCATATCAGTCCCCATAAAATACTTCTGTTGACAAATGGTTTTACAAGTCATAAAAATAGCTAAAACATTATGTGGATTAAAATCTTTCCACACTGGGGGAGTGTCTAATTTCTTCGCTGGTTGGTAGCTTCACTAGAACCTTTTTGATCCAGTCCCAATCTTAAAGGGATACAGAGACAATTCCAATGTTTCTGGTTGTCTGTGGGACCCTATGCAAGCTGATTAATTTTCTTGTATTTATGGGTTTTTTTTTTTTATCAGTGCCAAAGGAGAATAACCCAATCAGTCAATAACTGTCAGTCTGTGAGAATATACTGGGAGTCAAGATGGAAGAGTACTTTGAAAATGAAAAAGTGCTCTAACAAAGGTGTAAGGATGTATTCTGTGCCTGTGGCATATCTTTGCAATTTAGAGATTCTGTCTCAGAGCCAAAGAATTGCTTGAACCTGTGCAACTTTTGCAGTATTTCTTATGAAGAATTACTTACCTCAATGTGGGAAATGACTGAGTATTATTGTGGACAGCATGCTATCCCCAGCATACTATTTAGCTGACAGAAGTCTACATGCCAGCCTTCATGTTTTTTCATTAAATGCTAAAAAATACCCATGAGCTTAGATTTCAAAAATCTTCCACATGGAATAGCCAAAAACAACTTTCGTAAAAAAATAAAACCTCTACCCATTGTTCAATTGCTCACAGCATTACTATTTTACTTTGTGTAAAATGACAGTTTGAGTTGATGCCTAAAGCTTGGCTCATAAAGTTTAGCAGGAAATTGTTGTTGATTTCAGCCAGTATCTTTACAAAAGAACTGATGTCAGGGAAGTAATATATTTTAATAGTCACCTGCAAATAATGATCTCTTTAAAAACAAACAAATAAACAAAGGTGACCTGAGATAGCCTTTCATTTTCATGTCTTAAAGAAAACCTTGTCATAGTGCAGTGTTGACGGAGATAGCAACTTGTGGGAGGATGGGGAAGTTTCCCAAGGAAGAAAAAAATATAATGTGAAGGATGAAGCAGGACACATTGTGAGGTGAAAGAGTCTGAGGACTAAGTAGCTATGCATGGTGTGTATCATAACAGTCAATTTTTAATTCCTGTGCAGTATTTTATATTGTAGAATGATGAAAGGGAGGATGGGTTATTGTTTTTGCTTCTTTGGTTCCTCGGGCTTTTTATTAATGACCTGTAGGATCTATGCTTTTTCTATGTTTAACTGCATTCCCTCTGTTGCTGAACTGATTGTGGGTAATGGCCTGTATACCCTTAGAGGTTTGGGATGTATGATGTGTAGCAGGCAAGAAGGGCAGGCCGATGAGCAAGAGCTTGTACAAACTAATACCACCCTTGGGAGAACTGAAATGACAGCTCATTAGTTCCTCTTGCAGGGATATTCAGCCAACCAAAGAAAGCTCTTTTGGAATGCTGTTTTCTTTTTTTCCTTACTATTCAAATATTTGAATAACTTACACAAATGTTACCTCTCTGAGCATCCCTTGCACATTTTGTAGGTTTTTCTTTGTGGTAGCATTATGAGGTAGGTAAATAATTTGCTGGGCCTTTTATTTTCCAGACTGCACCTGGGGTACACAAAAGATTTTTTCGGAAAATAAAAAATCTCATTTCAGCATTTCAGAAGCCAGATCAAGGCATTGTAATACCTCTGCAGTATCCAGTTGAGAAGAAGTCCTCAGCTCGAAGTACACAAGGTACTATAGGTATAACTATTCATTTCTGACAGGGTTTGGAAGCTCAGGGGTTGGAGTCAACCTATTTATAAGCATGTAATCAACTGGAAGTTCTTTGGGAAAAATGTAGTGAGAATGTAGATGAAGCCAGCATGTCAAGTGACAGATGATTAATTTATGTGCAATAATCTCAATATGCTATACTGTAAGCTTTTCATAAAAGTGTGCAAAAATATAAAAAATTCTACCTGGCTACACTTTAATCTCTCATTCCATCTTGTTCTCCTGGTCCCTTTCGTAGACATATGACAACCATTTCACTTCACTAATGTAGGCACAAATGATTTCACAGATGGATATTGTAGAGAATACCTGCACTATCCTTTTACCTTTGCTTAGGAAACTGTTTTTGGTGCTTGAATGAATGCATTTTACTGTAACAAAGGAAATTAAATTAGTAAACTTTATTGTTACAGTGGCACAGATTGTAACATCTCCTGAGCAAAGCTATTATAGTGTATGTATCATGTGGAAGAGTAAATACCAGCCAATGTCTGTAGCTATTTGACATGTGACTATTCCTCTATGGAAATGGGTTATTTGTTTGGAGCGAGAAAATATGCTTTGATTGAAACAATAACTGTTTATAATAAAAATGAGTTTTTATATCTGCTTTTGACAGGGACCCAGGCTTGGGCATAAACTGGCAATTAGATTCAACTAGTGAGTTAAATTAATGGATAGCTATCCTTTAGAATAGAAATATAAATAAAACTAATTTACAAATTGGCCAATTATTCTTTTTATGCTCACTATTCTATTCTTTACAACTCAGTTTTAAATAATAGTTGCTCAAGGTATACCATTGTATTGTAGTATTATGAGCTTTGTACTGTTGGCAAAATTTACAAGTTCTAGTTAATCTATAGTTGTAGTACTTTGTAAATTTATCTTTTCTTGATTTTTGTTATTATTTTTCTTTAGGGAGAAGAGATTCTGATGTTCTCTTGAAAGCACCATGATGAAAAAGAAAACACTTTGTGCTTTATTTTCAATAATTTAAATACATGCTAAGTCTTGTGTAACGTAGATAATACAGTTCAGTGAGCTATAAGTGCATTTCTAACACCATCGTAGTCCTGCAATGAAAGCATCTTGCTTCATATTAAAGCTGCAATGGACATTGTAGATAATGAGAAGCTTGAAATGAAGATTGGGAAAAATAATTCCATAGGTTATTTTCAGTTACTGTACTTTCAAATGGGAAACAATTTAAGGTATAATGAATACTTTATAATATATTAATGTCAATTTTTACCAAATAAAAATAAAAATAAGCCCTAGCTTTTGTCAACGCACCACTTTTAGTGATATATTATTTGATAGTTACTGAGTGTATGGTGAACAGGTGATTGATGTCCCTCATCTTTGTCATGTACAGTTCTCCTCTAGCTATAATGTCGTAGGGTCTTGGGATTTATAAAGCTGTCTGCTGACACAAGTACTAGGTAAAGAGTGAAGAATTTCTGTTTTAATGTGAAAGCAACTTTCTTGTCTAGTGTTCTGATGTCAGACAGTAAAATTCACAGACTAATCTGGAGTTGAAAATCTTATAATTTAAAATAAGCTCTAAATGTTTATTGTATTTGATGCTACAGGATTTGAAATTATATTTAGGAATCCTATGACCTGGATTTTTCTTTTCATTTATCTCTGTCCCAGTTTCTTCCACTCTATGTAAACCTCATTTACAAGGGAATTCTCAGCAGCTAAAGCTCTTGGTTAACTAACCTTACAAGCCTATTTGAAAGCTTATGGTTATATTAACTTTTAACAATTCTGAGTGACCGAAACCTAAGTGAGAGTCAGATTTTTTGTGCAGTATTTTCTTCTCACATTTATATATTTCTAACTTGTGTGATTGATTATATGGCAAGTTGCTTCAGGAGTCAAATAGTCCATCTATCCAACAAACATAACGGAGCCCTGGGTGTAAAGAAGTAAAAATATCTGGGCCCTGCCCTCAGATAGTGTATTGTCGTGTTGGACAAGAAAACTGTAATAATAAAAGAAAATTATAAAGAAAAGCAAACAATAATAATAAAAGTTGATAAGTACATAGGTGAGGTTCTTTATGTCTAGGTAGATCTTGCTTTAGAGGATAGATGAATCAACACCAATACTTTCTGGTCCATGGTCCATAGGAAAAGTCTGGTTCACTGTAAACTGATGACATTGGAATTTTGGGTTGTACATGAATGCTGTGAACTTGGTTAATAACTAGTGAACTACTGAGAGACCGAAATGTGCTGCAAGTTTTGATTTCTAAACATTTAGCATGGTGGAGTATGGTCATGGTAATATATTTTGGGCAATTCATCATTTCTTGAAGGGAGAGCATCACTTTAATTTGTAAAGGAATTCAGAAGCCTATTCCACATTGTTCTCTGTTGTGAGAAACCAAAAGTGTAAATAGGACCAAAATGTATAATAGACATTGTGAAATAGGAAGAAAATGTTCTAATGGGAAAGGGAACTAGGGAGGGGGGAAGGGGAAAGGAAGGAAGAGAAAAGAAAAGAAAAGAAGGAAAAAATGGAAACAAAGCTTTTGTAAATAAGGAGGAGGTGAGAGGTTGAAGGGAGGGGAGGGGAATGGGGGAAAAAAGGAGAATCAAGATATATCATGTACAGGTACAAATTCCTGATGATGAATGTGATCATTATGTATATCTAAAATGTACCAATAAAATCAATTAAAAATAAATGGCAGAGTATTTAATAAAGTGCTTTTTGTAACTGCAAACAAAACAACCCAAAATGCATATATTTAAATAATTTTAATTATTTGTAGCTCGAGTTTGAATTTTAGTACATGTAACTAATTTTTACTCCAATTTGTTCATTCTAGAATATATGAATGATATTTCTATGTTCTTTTATGAGAGTCTTTTTTGAAAAAGCTTTCTGGAATCATTAGTGGTCTTTCATATTGTAACAAAGTATTTGAAGCTTTATTTACCTAATTTGCCTTAAAATATTACTTTAACAATATTCAGAGACAGACATATTAATAAACTAAATAAAGCATTGATGAAGAATATCTTACTTATTGGACTGATTCTCTGGAAAATGTAAATGCTTTTCTTAATTTATTATTGTCAAATTTTCCAGTTGATGAGCCTATCCTCATCTTCTTTGGCTAGTCTTTTATCCATCAAGTTTTTCCACCTTTTTATTCCCAACATGAATATCCTTGTTATTTCCCAATATGTAATAAGTTGCATCTGTACAGAATGGACATATCCTGGCCATATCTAAGATATTTCCATGTTAACATATACCTGTTGAGACGCTGAGTCAAAGTAGAAAAATGCACATATATTTCCAAGCATACATCTTGCTTCAGGAAAAAAGAATGTGTCAGTAAGCTTACAAGGAACATGACAGCTTATCAAATACTTGTTCATTTCCTCTGAAATTTGTTCTTAAGAGATAAGGTCAATAGGCAGACAAGCTTAGGTAATTGTCTGTTTGACTGTTACAGGCAGGGAAGCTTGTGGTACAGCATTGGTAGAATAAGTCTACAGAGAATATCTCTGATTATGTCCTCTGGTATAAAGGACTGCCTTGAAGATATTCTTTTGGGGTGGAATGGACAAGGAGTTTAAAAATGTGAGAAATGTTTTAAAATATGGTAAGAATGTTTCTACATCAGCTTATGTTTTATTTGATTCACTATATTGAGCTCAGAATGAAGAACCTATAAATAATAAACCCAGATTTGCCCTATAGCATTTCAAGGTTATAGGATGCCAGGTTTTCCTGATAGTGCGCTATGAAGTCAACTTTGTCACCCATGTTTGCCCTTGCAGTAAATGAGATACCATTAATTTTTAGTTTTCAGCTAGAAGTGAAGTTAAACTACCTAGTTTGGACAATTTTCTAATTTGGGGTCATTGGCCACACTTTACAGTGAAAGGCTGAATTTTCATCATTAGGCCATTTGGTTCTTAAATGAAGATTTTTTTCAATGTAGAAAGATACAACAAATGTGACAAACTAGATAGAGCCGATCAATAAACATATATGGGATATATATACACACATTCATACACACACATATCTCAATTGTACACAATATCGTGGAAATGGAATTGTTCTCTCACAAGATGACAGAAAATTATACCACACTCAGCAATGGACAGAAAGAGTTAAAGCCAGAATGCATGAGACCTGAATTTTCTTTTCAGCTCTGTCATTGATTATCCCTGTGAACTCAGAAAAGTCAGCCTGTTACTGTCATTACACTTGCCAAGTAGGAATAATTAAGTTTTACCCCATAAGATTATTGAGGTACTAGAATTACATAACTTTAAGGTAGCACTAAATATTTGATTGATATTCCAAAATCTCTAAAAGTGAAGATAAATAGGGAAAGAATATGGAGAAGGCTCTTTAATAATTGTGTGAATGTAGGAGTTCCTGCTCTTTTTTTGATGCCCTGAGGGTTGGGTGGGACGAATATTTTGAAAAAATGCACAGGTGATACAAATACTCCACTCCCATTTTGCTGACACCTTGTGTTGAGACATTTAAGGTAGCCTTCTGTGTCATGAATCATATTTGTATGTATGTATCAATGAATAAAAAAGCAGGGCATTTTGCAGTGCTATAAATCCAAGTTTCCGTAAGGGGCTGTTTAGACTACATGTACCTCCTTAATATCAAGTTGTGTTTTCAAAGATCTATTGGCCTGATTTCTCAGTGTCACTTCAAAATGTCTCTGTGGAAAATAAGTGGCAAACAGCAATTTTAATGGCCTGTGGTGTAGGGCCTTAAAAAAGCTTTTATTACTTTTTTTGTTTTTCATGATCCACCCGAACCCTGTATCTATTATTATTTTTTTGTCAATGCATTTTGACACCCCCATCTCTTTTTCCCTTCAACTGTTTTTGCAAATTTTAATTTTCTTTCTATTGCCGAGAAAGTCACCAAAAGAAGAGAATAAAACCTTTTTAAAAATGTCTTAGCCTAGAGGCATTTATATTCACAGCAGTTACTCTTTGTTTATGAAATGATCATTTGTATCAAAGATTCTATTTGTATGAAAAATAAAAATGAAGAGATGTCCAACTAGAATTAGTACATTTTTGATTTCCACACCTACATTTTCAAGATGACCTGATTTTTATTGTTTCCAGTGAGAGAGCCACTTTCCCTATCTCAGGTGAGCAGACTCATTGGAGAATGCAGTTTGGCGCATGAATAAAATGAGACACAGTGCTCATTTGCAGTTTTATTTTTTAAAAATGAAATAGTCAAAGTACTTTTCTTTCAAATATCGACACATAATGTTTAACTTTAAATATTTACAGCATGTTGTTGTGATGCTCTTGTAGAAAAATGCATGCTTCTGGCATGAAAGCCAGAGCAAAATGCAAAAGACCATTTAACTGCAGCCAGAGAACATGTACCTGTACAGTATCCAGTCACTTTTCAGCATATGAGTGAGAGCAGGAATACAAAATTGGAACCTATTGTTTCCTAGCAACATGGCTCAGGCCATTACAACACAATTTTCAGTACGATTAGAACCTCTAACTGTTGTTATATAGAAACTGAAAATCTTGGCATACACTGTAAACATCTTTCCTTTTCATCAGAAAGTAAGCAGCTAGAAAGACTATTTTTTTTACATAAAGGCTATACTTCTCTTTTCTCCTCTCTCACTGATGCTTTTGCCAGAAGAATAGTAAAGATTTAGACATTGTCATGATTCATACAAGTAAAATATTTTTCAAGGACACAATCTGATATACTAACATTTACTTAACAGGTTAAAGTCCACCACTAAATCTAAGGAAAGATTTTTAACTGCCAAACACATTTCCTTTGACAAATAATGTAAGGTGAAAACTGCCAAGACAAAATCCACAGCAAGTTAACGCTAAGTATTTTCAGTTACTGTTCAGCAAGTAATTTCTTCTTACACACAGCAGTATATTTGGTCCTTAATAGTTTT